CTCTAAGGCGAGAGCCACATTTTGAAACCGACCCGCCCTCACATCTGTGAACCAGTTGCAAACTTCTAAGCTTCAGGGTCATACGTGGTGAGGACGTCTCAGGCGAAAAGCACTCATAAGGAAAAGGTGGAGGAGGAGGAGAAGGAGGAGGTGGAGGGGGAGGAGGCGGAGGAGGAGTAGGAAGGACAGGGAGGAGGAGGGGAGGAGGAGGAGGAGGAGAGGTAAAGAGGAGAATAGGAGAAATGGGCGGAGGAGGAGGAGGAAGAGGAGGAGGCGGCAGGAGGAGGAGGCGGAGGATGAGGAGGAGGACCGGGAGGAGGAAGAGGACAGGGAGGAGGAGGAGGAGGAGGAGGAGGGAGGAGGAGGAGGAGGAGGAGGAGGAGGACGATGATGAGGAAGAAAAGGAGGATGAGGAGGAGGAGGAGGAGGAGGAAGCTTCCCCAGATGATGGGGAAGCAGGAGGGGGACGGGGAGGGGGACGGGGACGGAGGAGGAGGAGAGGAGGAGGAGGAGGAGGAGGAAGGAGGAGGAGGAGGAGGAGGAGGAGGAGGAGGATGAGGCTGGATGACTGGATGACTGTATCGATCGGGTCTCCCCGACCGCTCGGCCCAACGGCCGCATGGCCGACGCCCAGGCGGGGCTTTCACCCAGCCGTCCACCCAGCGCCAGCCGAGGCCCCAAGAGGCCAAGCGAACCGCCGAGGCCGCCCGCCCCGCCCCAGACGGCAGCCCGCACGGCCCCCCCCCCCGCGAGGCCTGGGAGGACGACCCGAGGGAGAGAGGGTCCCGCCCGCGCCCCCGTCACTCTCCTGAGAGTATGGCGGAGACGGGCCCGAAGACGGGCCCGGAAGCCGAGCCCATCGCGGAGACGGGCCCGAAGACGGGCCCGGAAGCATATCATGCGTGCCCATGGCGACGACGGGCCCGAAGGCGAGCACCTGACCCGCTGCCGCCAGCACCACGAGGGTGCCGAGGCAGCCAGGCTCCGTCGGCCAGGGAGGGCGCACGCGTCGACTCCCGGGCCTGCGAGCTCGGCCTGCTCCTGCAGCCAGGACATGAAGGCGGCGCGATTCCCACCCTTGTCCACCACCATCCTGCCCCACTCGTCGAGCGCGTGCTCCATCAGGCTCTTGATAGTCGTCCCCCGTCGAAGGCCACGGCCTCCTCCTCTGAGATGCCGTCGGTGCCCTCGAACTTCTCCTTGAGCTTGACCTTCTTCTTGCCGCCGCGGCCGTCGGACTCGCTGATCTCCATCAGGCTCTTGATGTCGTCCCCGTCGAAGGCCACGGCCTTTTCCTCTGAGATGCCTTCACCGCCCTCGAATTTCTCCTTGGACTTGGCCTTCTTCTTGCCGCCGCGGCCGTCGGACTCGATAATCTCCTCGATCTCATCCGACTGCAGGCGCCACTCGGCGTACCTCTCATCGCGCGCCTTCTGGGCCCCGTGGAAGGCTTGCAGGTTGAGCGCACGAACGAACTCAGTGCCCGTGGCCGAGGGCGCAACTTGCTTTCCGAGGAGCCACTTGGCCCAGTCGTCCTCCTCCTGGTACTCGTCCTCGATGCTGCCTTCGCTGAAGATGTCGAAGTCGACCACCTTCAGTCGACCACCAGCGCCGTTGACCCCGAACGACTCCTCCTGCGCCGTCTGCGATGCCTTTTCTTCTTCTTCTTCTCCTTCAGCTGCATGCCGCCCATGGGGTCAGCACCCACCCACCCACTCCGACGGCACATCGTCCTTCTCTACGCGCTGCTTGACCTGGCTGCCCTGCGCCGCCGAACGACTCCGAGAGCGCAGACGCGCCGTTGGCGGTGCCGCGTGGTGGCGTTCCACACGACGGAGGCGCGGGCCCCAGCAGCCAGGCGGCGGAGACGGTGGGGCTGCCATGATTGACGTGGCCGCCAGGTCCGTCGCCACCCCGTCCGCAATCGCCAACAGTGGCGCCTGAGACGGCCGAGGCGCTGCCACTTCCGGCCTTGGCGCAGGCCGCGCCATGGCCGCGGTCACAGCTGCCGTCACCGCCGCCGACAGTCTCCGCTCCACAAGGGACTCGACGCCAGCAGGCCAACTCCGGTTGCCCGGCGCCGCCTTCCCCCGCCTCCAGTGCGCAGATTTGGCGCTGGAGCCGTCCCGCCATGCCATGCACCTGGCTGCGTGCAGCAGCGCCCTTGCGAGTTGCGCCGCACGATGGCTGCCCGGCCGCGCGGAGAACGCCCCGCCCACGCGCGCGCGGCCGAGGGGCGAGGGGGGCGCCAGCAAAGCCGCAAGGGCTAGGAGGAGGAGGAGGAGGAGGAGGAGGAGGAGGAGGAGGAGGAGGAGGAGGAGGAGGAGGAGGACGAGAAGAAGGAGGAGGACCATGAGGAGGATGATGATGAGGAGGAGGAGGAGGAAGAGGAGGAGGAGGATGAGGAGGAGGTGATGGAAGAGGCTACCTACCCAAGACGGCCGCCTGGGCCTTCCGCGGGCGCGGTACGCCCGCGCGTAGCTCCCGCTGGCAGGCGCGCGCGCCCTGCCCGCTCAGCGAGGCGGCACCCGGCCGCTTGGGCCTCGCGTAATTGGGGGGCAAAGAAGACGGTGGCAGGGAGCGCTGCAGGAAAAGGGGCCCGGAGGGCTCCCGAAGGGGCCCTTGAGGGCTCCAGATGGGGGCCTTGCGGGTTCGAGAAATGCATGCAGTGGGGGCGCGCATCATTCGTTCGGGTATCCTGGGTTTCTTCGCTCCTCGCGCTGCGCGGTGACTTCCCGCAGCCGTGGAAGGAGTTGCTGCGCTCAGGGTGCTCCGGGTTTCCCCTCAGGTGCACCTCGCGCACGGGTTCTCAGGGTTGGGTTTCTTGCGAGGGTTTCTTGCGGCCGCGCCCGCACTTCATTCCCCCCCTTCCCCCCAAATATCGCTCCCCCCCCCCCCAACATTAAGCGACGCCCGGGGCCGCACAGTCAAGGCGTGGAAACAAGGACCACCTTGGGCTCAGGAGGGGCTCTGGCTTCAGGGCCGTTCCCGGGGCCCGGGCCAGGGAACCTGATTGCGGCCGCGGCCTGGCGTGGCCAGGGAGGCCCCGTCGTTCCTCGTGTCGCGTTGCTTCGGGCAGCGCCATCGCTGCAGAGCCCCAGGGCACGCCCAAGGGTCCCCCGACCGGCCCCCCGCGGCCCCAAGGGGCCCCCAGGCGGCCCCACGCAGCCCCCCAGCGGCACCGAGGAGGCCCCCGAGAGGCCCCCACGAGGCCCGCGACAGGCCCGCGAGCAGCCTCTAGATGCCCCCAGGAAGCCCTCAAGAGGCCCCCAAGACGCCTCCACGAGGCCCCCCAAGCGGCCCCAAAGCTGCCCCCCCAACAGGCCCCAAGGTAAAGGGAGGGAAAACCACCCCGACCCCCTATAATGGGTGTCCGCTGCGCGGCCTTGAGCGTTTGCTAAACAGCCCTGTCCGGTACGACTTCTTCCGGGGGTGCGTCTACTCGCCGGCTTCTCTGGTCGGGGTGCTGATCATGAGGATGTTTTTTTCGCGGAGGCTCTTTCGAGCAGCACCGCGGCGCCGATGCCGCCGCCGCCTCCACCGGCATGCATCCTGAAGGAGTGGCCGACTGCCCCCCCGCCAGAGGAGGCTGCCTTGGGCAGCTCTGCGGCGCCAGTCACGGATCGTGCGCAGACCGCCAACGAAGAAGTGAAGGTCGAGGAGTTCGTCATCGGCGATCGTGCGCGCTGGCGGAGTAGACCTAAGAAAGATAATGATTCTGCTGATTCTTCAATTGCATGTCTGGCTGAGCCTCCGACTGGGCCTCGCCCTTCAGTTGCAGAAGTGTCTTCAATCGCATGTTTGGCTGAGCCTCTTTCTGAGAATCGCCCTCCAAGTGCATGTATCCCTGGGCCTCCACCTGAGGCTCGCCCGGAAAAAAATGTTCCGCGTGTGAAAGTGTGTCCCGCCGCCTTTTCTACGCCCAATCTTGGATGTTACCTTGTTCTCGATGGTGTTTTGGCGATGCCTCCTTCGGTTGAGGCGCTCTTGGATGAGTCGGTAACGCACACTCTTGGATTCGGTGGGCATGGTGGTGGAGTTTCAAAATTGCCTTCCTTGGTCGAGGATCGCCCAGCGTCAGCTCCCAATTCTTCGCCTGAGCACCCTAACTTCTGCGGGCATGTTGGGTTCGATGGACAGGGAATTGCTGAGCGAAGGGTCCAATTTCGCCGCCGATGCCATTTTGATGCTTTCTCCTTCGGTCGAGGTGGCGAGATCGGCGGGATTATTGGAACAATTTGCTTGCGATGGTGGATTGAACGATTGCTCCGATTATGCCGCCGATGCCGTTTTGGCGCCGCCTCCTTCGGTTGAGGCGGCGGACTCGGCGGACCCATCGACACGCGTTCGTGGAAGTGACTTTGCCGCCAAGGCAGTTTCAAATTCGCCTCGCCACTGCTAAGGCGAAATATGAGGATTTTCCCTTGGAGCCAGTCGCGTCGACGGTTCCTTACCCTCTGGCGCGAAGACGCCTGATGGCTCTGCTTTCGGCCATGAGGCGCGAAGGCGCTCTCAGTGCGAGCTGCTCTGTCGCTTTTCTGACGGCGCGGAGGTGTCAGACGTGCCATGGAAGAAGCCGCGGTTGATTACGCCCGCCATGCATGTTGCTTCTCGGCTGGTCCTAGCAGGAGCGTTTACGTTCATGCCGGTTGCGCCGGCATTGCAAAGTACGTTAGTTTTGCAGCGCCGGTTGTCGAGTTCCGCGCAGGCCTCGTGTGCCTGGCAATGGTTTCTTATTTTTCTCCTGCTAGTAAATCCTTCGGGGAGCCTCGACTGCAGCAGTCCACAGCAAAAGAAACACACGCTCCACAAGAGGCGCCAAGGAGCCCCCGAGACGCGCCCCTGTAAGGCCCCGAGTGCGCTTTCAGGATGCCCTGAAAGGCCGGCGCGGGCGGCGGCCCCGCGCCGCCGGCGGCGGCACGCGCGGCCGCGGCGGCCGGCGCGGGCGACGGCCCGCGCCGACGGCGGCGGTGCGCGCGGCCGCGGCGGGCGCCGCGGGCGTGCCCCCGGGCCGGCGTGCCTGCAGCCACGCGGGGGCCCGGGCCGCCGCCGCCGCCGCTATGCCGTCGGGTTCGGCCCACTGCCGGCGGGTTCGCCCTCGGGCGGAGGCGCCGGGCGAGGATCGCCATGGAGGAGGCGGGACCTGCGTGGTCTGCGGTTTTTCGCCGTTCTCGGGGCCTCGTGGCTGTCAGAAGACGGCTCAGGATGGAGGCTTCGTCTCTGGAGAGGCCCCAGGGTCCACGACCCGTGCTGCATACCCTGGCTGGGTGCACGGGACAGTTCGCTGGCGGATGACGGGGGAGCGTCTTCGAGGGACGAGAAGCGAGCTGGACGTTCTTGCTGAACCTGTGAAGTATTTCAAACCTGAGGGGGTGCGTCTTCGAGGAAAGAGAAGCGAGATGGACGTTCTGGTTGCACATTTAACCCCATTCAAAGTATGAGCGTACAAGCCCCTCAGGATCGTAGGGGGCCCCGCCTTATCGGATATCTTTTATTATGTTCCAAGCATTTCGCCTGAGGCATCCTTACACCATTGAGTTGTTCGCAACTTGTTTTGTAACACCAAGCGTTTCGCTCGAGACATCCTCCATAACTGGGTACACGTTTTTGTTGACCATCAACATGTGCGCGTCGCATGAGACATCATCGACAACATCGAATGTCCGCAGAGGTGCTTGACTACCTCTTACAACTCAGGCATCCTCATACATCCTCAGACCACTGGCGCCAGCACAGCAGACCAACATGTTTTATAGATTAACCACCGCCATTTTGTCATGTCCATCATCATTCACTTCTCACCCCCTACGAGCCCAATGTGCTAATTTGGCGCTCCCGTTCTGTTCAGATCAGGTTTGGGCAACATTCGCTGTCGGGTATGGTACCCGTTCTTCCCGGACCCATTTTGGGCATACTCGTGAAACACATAACGACGGGAGTTTGTTGTTGGCGTTTTTGGTTTCGTGGGGGCTTTAACAGGCCTCGGGACAGTCAAACAACGAGTGGGGATGGAAAACCAGCCTGGGGGAAAGGCTCTGGGCTCCCGGGAGCCACGTATTGAAAAGATCACGGCGCCGCATGTCTGGGAGCGGGCCTTGAGGTGCCAGGGGATAAGCCCCAGAGTCCAGGACACGTTTCCACCAGGACCCGCATATTGCACCGTTGCCGATGCCCTCTCCCCTAAGGACCAGGAGGGAGAGGAGGAGGAGGAGGAGGAGGAGAAAGGAGGAGGAGAGGAGGAGGAGGAGGAGGAGGAGGAGGAGGAGGAGGAGGAAGAGGAGGAGGAGGAGGAAGAGGAGGAGGAGGATGAGGAGGAGGAGGAGGATCAGAGCTCCAAATCATCAGGGGTACTTCGGGTCAGGGCTAACTCGGGCTCGTTTTTCGGGAATCCGAGCCCCGGGCCCGAGTTGCCCCGGATAATTCGGGCGTCCAGAGCTCCAAATCATTAGGGGTAATTCGGGTCAGGGCTAACTCGTGCGTTTTTTCGGGGATCCGAACCCGAGTTACCCCGGGCCCGAGTTACCCTGGATGACTCGGGCGCACAAGGAGGAGGAGGAGGAGGAGGAGGAGGAGGAGGAGGAGGACGAGGAGAGGAGGGAGGAGGAGGAGGAGGAGGAGGAGGAGGAGGAGGAGGAGGAGGAGGAAGAGGAGGGGGAGGGGGAGGATGCACCCGTCTGCGCCTTCTTGTGCCTGCAGGAGGGCCCTCCCTCGTCGCCACGGCTGGGGCCGCCCTGGCCAGGGTGCCACTCTCACGGGTGTCCGAGCTGGAGCCCAGAGCCCTCCACGCCCCCACATGTGCTCCAGGCACGGCAGCGGGCCTCATTGGCCTTGGTGGGCCTTTGAAGCGACAGGGCCGTTTTTGTCACCGGTTGCGTTCTGCTGTTTTGTTGGGAGGCCCTGACGCCTTCTTTTACCGGTTCCGTCCCCGCATTTTGTCACCTGCTCCGGCTCCGGCTCCGGTTCCAATCCCGGAGCCGTTCTCTTGCCGTTTCCGGCCGCCGTTTTTTGGCCGTTTCCAGTTTCAAGATTTTTTCGGAGACGGTTAAGAATTCGGCTCTGCTGTTTCTCGGGCCCACTATAAAAGTCACTGTCCATCCCCCGATCGGATTCTCTGCACTCCGCGGCCCCAGAGTGGTCCTGACCCCTTCCCTGGGGTCAGTCTTTTCGTCCTGCATGGGCCCATGGCTGGTGGTCATGGGGTCCTAGGGTTCAGTCGGGCCTGTCCCTCTACAGGGGGAATATTCAGAAATAGTTTAAAAATTGTCAGGGGACTATTTTCATTTCAGAGCCTTTTTAAGGTATTTTTCTGTGTATTTGTAATCTTTTGCCCAGAATCCCCCTGTATGGGGGGCGGGCCCGCGAAGCCGAGGAGAAAAAAGTGCCCGGAGGGAACACGTCGTGCCCTGGCGGTCGCTCGGCGGCCTCGTGGCCGAGCCAGGCCGCCCGTGCGAGGGCCCCGCGGCCCGAGGCCGGGCGACGCTGCCCGGGGTCGAGGCCCTGCCCTGCCACGGGCGGCCCCCGCTGCGGGCAGTGTCTTTATCCGCATCCAGTGCGTCTTGGAGTCTCGGACTCTCTTTCGGGGGAGCGTAAGACCCGGGTTTGCCAGGACTCGGGTTCGCCATCGTTTTTTGACGACCGCGACTCGGATTTTGACGAGGAGGAGTTTCGTGGGATGTCTGCAGCGGGAGGCCTCGTCAAAATGCAGGCTCGGCCTCGTCATTTTTTTGACGACCTCGTCGGGGATTTCCGAGTCCCCCGTACCCGGGTCTTACGTCTCCCCGATTCTTCCCAAGAAACATGAGGCGCACTAGATATGGATTTTAATCTGCCTCCCAAAGGCTCAACTTTTATCCATCTCCGGTGCGCCTCGGCCTTGCGGCGCCCCTCCCGAGAAAGTCCAAGACGCACTGGACATGGATATAAATATTGCCCGCACTCGTGGCCGCCGCCGGCTCTGCCTCGGGAGTCTCGTCGGAGCGCCCCCTGCAGAGGCACGTGGAGCAGCGGCGTCGGTATAAATCGGTGGTGGACAGAACCCCCAACGGTGACACGTCGATTCGTCAATCGTCCGTTTTCGGTTCTCGAGAGGGCGCCGCGGCCGTTATTTTCCAGGCTTGCGCCCGCCAGGTTTGGGCCTCAGGTCGTTTTCACTAAGCCACGTTTTACTAAAGGGGGGTCTGTCCATCCCCGAATAAAGCCTGCTGCCCTCGAGGACGAGCACGGCGGCAACAGAAGGTCCCGGAGTTCCGCGCGGATTTCCTGGATCTCGGGGGCGGCACAGAGGGGGGCGATGACTAGGGGGGGTGGATGTCATGGCGGGGGCCATGACATTTCCCCAGATTTCATGGCGCCTCTTCTCATTTCATTGAGTCTCTGGCCCCCCCCCTGCTGGGCCGCGCACGTGCCGCCGGTCACGATTTGCACCCCCCCCTCTTGGACACCCACCTCTTGGCCGCTCCCGCAGATCTCAGGGCATCCGCGGAGATTGTGGCTTGCTGCGTCTTGCTCCTGTTCTCGGGGAACGCTTCTTTTTCCTGAGCCCGTCGCTGACAGTCCCAGGGCTTGGTGCGGGCCCACGGAGTCAGACCATACAGACAAGCCGTCCGTCGCGTTTTTCCACGACCATGAGACACATAATATTTGGAGGCCTCGCGCGGCGCGCAATAGTTGTATGATCTAGTCCCCACGTCCGCCTCGTCAGATATGGGACGACGTTCGCGCAGCGATGTTTCGACGTAATTCCGACGTGATTCCGACGTGCATCCGACGTGAATCATGTGTGGATCCGACGCGAATTGGGTCTCAAGTTGCCGCGCGAGGCCTTCAGGATTTTCCTCATAAGGCCAGGGAACATTTTGCCCACTTCTAAGATCGATCAGGCCAGGCATAACCCCTTGGCATCTCCTGATAACCCCCCTATCCCCTCAGCCCCCTTCCGCTCCGATCCAGTACCATGGTCCAGTGGGGATGGGGATCGGCTAGACAGTGCAGAATCCGCCATCCACAACGGGACCGAGGTCCACGCCGACGCGTGTCGTTTGAGGGCCCAGTCGAGACCAGTCCAATTGCACCAGCAAGGCACTCTTGATTGCAGCGAAGGTGAAGAGGCGGACAGCGTCCCACTCGCACGCCTGACTTGCGCCCCGCCCGCACCCCTGACCTTGCCCGCTCTGGTCGCGTGCCTTTTCCTCCGCCTCTTCTTCCCTCTCGTGCTGGATTTTTGAGTCTTGCCAGTTGCGCCTCAGGGATTTCATGAATCTTCACGTGTGCCCCTGTCCACTGTATTTGGCTACACGTCTTGTCTCGCCTACTGCAAATTGGTCGGCGCGCCATTTCAGGGCATAGCGGTGTTTCTTCCTCCATCCTCGGCTCTCCCCTCGTCCGCGCCAGCGTCTTCGCTTCACTGGGAGGAAGGGGCGATGACGGTCCTGCGGCAGAACAGCCTGCGGGCTCTCCAGGCGCACCTCAAACGTTCTTGCCGCGCCGTTGGGGTTTCGATGCGTCCAAAAACATCGGTTCAGAGGCGGATCGAGGAGTAGGAGGTCGGTTATATGAGGACAGGGCATCTGGTGATAACCCCCCCACTTGTCCCCTCAGCATCCCCTGCGCCGATCCTTCCAAGAGGAGGGGCCCCCAGACCTGTGAAGTCCTGAGTCGAGAGCGCTCCAAGGGTGTCCGGCTCATCCAGAACGGATAACGGAGACCAGATCTATGGCCTGGCAACACGTCCCCCGCAGACCTGGCTGCGCGCAGAGGGGGGGAGGACAAGGGGGGAAGGCTTCTCAGAAGCACCCCTGCTTCCCAGAGGGCGCCCTGTCTCTGGAGACAAGGCCCGCGCCTTCTAAGAGGCAGCCTCCTCCCAGGATCGCAGGCCTAGAGGTTGACACCAACGCCAAGATCGGCGGTTTTCCTCCACGGAGGGAAGAAGATCCCGATCTCGGTGATGGTGGTAGTATTCTGGCTTCCAAGGTGGCCGAAGTACTACCACCGACACCGAAATCTAGGATCACCCCCCCCCTGTGGAGGCAGCCCTCTGTCTTGGTGTTGGTGCCCATTTCCAGGCCTCCTCCCAGGGAGCCTTCTTCCCTGCCCCCTGCCCCCCTGGGTGCGCGCCGCCAGCCCTTGGCATGGCTCGGACGTGTGCATTTTTCCCTCGGCGAGGGCCATCGAGGAGCATCCTTGATCATTTGGCGAAACAACCACGCACGAAACCAAAAAAAAAACAGGGAATGGACGTCCGAGCGATGGCCAGGACGGCCCTGGCCCCGGGGGCCCGCCCGCACCCGTCGTGATATACCTCGGGCCCGCGAGAGGATCCCGCCCCGCCCTGCCCCGCGCGGAGGCCTCCTAGGAGGAGGGACCCCTGGGCGCCGCTGCGAAGCAGGCTGGCGCTTCGTGGGCCCCGGCAACGGCAGGGCCGTTTTTTCACCGTTCCCGAACACATGTCCCTGGAACACGGAAGCGGCAGAAAAAAACGGCGACCGGAAACGGCAACAAAAACACGGCTCCAGGATTGGAGCCGGAGCCGGGACCGGTCAAACAACGGCGACGGAACCCGTCAAAAGCGGCGTCGGAATCGGCAAAACAACGGCAAAACGGAACCGGTAAAAAAACGGCCCTGTCGTTTCCAGGGCCCGCGAAGGGCTGGCGGCGCGCGCAGGGGGGCGGGGGCAGGGGGCAAGGCTTCTTATATGGAGGGATGCTGCTCCTCAGAAGGCGCTGGCCTCGCAGCTGCGGACGAGGCCCGCGCCTCCGAAGAAGCCAGAGTGCCCCTGAGAAGCCTTCCCCCCTCCCCCTGCCCCCCCGGGGTGCTTGCCGCCCACCTGTGCTCCATCCTGCGCTGTTGTCGGACGGCCCCCGGGGGGGTCGGCGAGGGTCCCCGGGGGCCCAGCAGGAAGCACGGCCGCGCCCGACGTGATTTTCTTGCACGCATCGGCTCATCTGCTCCTCCTCTACCCTCCCCTCCCTTCCTACCTCCTCCTCCTCCTCCTCCTCCTCCGCCTCTCCTCCTCCTCCCGCCTCCTTCCTCCTTCCTCCTCCCCCTCCCCCCCCCTCCTCCTCCTCTCCTCCTCCTCCAACTCCTCCTCCCTACCTCCTCCCTCCATCCTCCTCCTCCCCGCCTCCTCTCCTCCTCATCCTTCTTCTCCTCCTCATCCTCCTCCTCTCCTTCTCGTGTTCTCCTCCTCCTCCTCCTTCTCCTCCTCGTCCTCTTCCTCCCTCCTCCTCCTCATCCTCCTCCTCTCCGTAATCCTCCTATCTCCTCCTCCTCCTCCTCCTCCCTCCTCCTACCTCTCCTCCTCCTCCTCATCATCATCATCATCATCATCATCATCATCATCATCAGCATCATCATCATCATCATCATCATCATCATCATCATCATCATCATCATCATCATCATCATCACCATCATCATCATCATCATCATCATCATCAGCATCATCATCATCATCGTCATCGGTTTCGGATGGTCCTTTATGTGAGGCTCATATTGCGGATCCACATGTACTCTCCCATCATCTCCGTACGTACTTCACGCACCACACGCTGCTGCTTGACAGCAACAGCCATGTCCAGTCCCTCGTTGACGCTCGGCAAACGGCGGCTGACGCAAGAGGCAGGGGACGGATGGAGGGCCCGCATCGAGGAGACAGTGATGGACCAGGCACGCCGGCAGGAATTCAAAGGCAAAGAGGGAGGCATCAGTGCAGCGTTGCTCACAATCTTGTGCAGGCTTTCTTTTACCAGTGCAAGAGACTTCGCGGAACTCACGGGCGCTACTTTCGCCTGTTTTTTATTGCCCGCGACGGCGCATCTAGCCAAGATCATGCAGGCAACAGGCCAGGACTACCCGACGGATTGCAAAGCACAGGGGAAGCAGCACGACAACGGGCCACCATGGCCCCACATCTTCATGGCGCTGGCGCAGCTGGTTCGACAAGAAGGCGGGCAAGAAGGAGGCAGACACGTTCAAGCTACAGTTCATGATGAGCCAATATGTTCAGAGCCAAATGGTGACACTGGGCGGTCAGCATGTGATGCCAGTGCATGCGACCCTCCAGGTATGTATCAGGAAGGAAAGAGACAAGATCAAGGCCGGAGCCGCTCCGAAGGGGGCCCTCGAGCGGGACGCAGTGCGCCGTTTCCAGGAGTTTGGAATGGCCCCAGAAGAGATCCAGAAGCACCTGAACGGCTGAGTTCTTATTATGTGAGCGGTTTCCTACACATTTCTGAGATGATGCTATTATCTGGTGGTTGAGAGTACCCAGCTCCACGGGCAAGTGCGACAACCCGTGCACGCAGCCCGACCAGCACGGGGATTTCTGGGCCAGGCCGCCTGCGCGAAGGATAAGGCAGCCTGCTCGTCTCATGTCGATTCAGAGCTCAGCTCGAATGTTGGCCCAAGAGGCCACCTCGGACACCCGCAGCTTGACACTCTCCAGTGCAAGTCCGAGGGTCCCATTTTGCAGTATCGATCGGGCGAGCTCACCTTTGAGGCGTGTTATGTTGAGCCCCGGGTTTTTCAATTCACGGTCGTTCAGGTTCTTCAGGGAGCTGCGCAGGTCTGGACGGTATCCACTGAAATTGTTTCTTCCTCGTTCGCTGCTGATGCGCGTGCCTCGAGTGCGCTGCTTGCTCCTCTGCCCCCTCCACCACCGTCCGAGCTTACACAACCCGAATCTGATCAGGCAGAGGTTAGCACGTAACGCCACGGCTCCCTCCGCTGCCTACTGCCAGTCCCCCTCTACTTCCCTCCCTTCCGCGGCTTCTGCTGCTGCCTGCTCTATTCCTTCTTCTGGCCTCGTGTGTGTGTGTGGTGCGTGTGCGCATTGGCGGTGTCCTGTTTCTTCTCGCCCGCCGTTCCCCTTCGTTTCCTTGTCGTGTCGTTGCTGGGCTGTGGCCTAGGATTGAATTAGGGAAACTTACGATTCTCTTCCCATAGGGAGCCCGCCGCTGGAGGATGGTGCCCTTGCAGGCGGTCGTGGGCCGTTCGTTCCCCAGCATACTGTCCTGCTCAGTGCCAAAGGTCTCCCCCCAACGAGGCTGCAGGATATGGCCCCGTGCTATCGGCAGATTCTTTTACAGATTGTCGGTCGGTTTGAAGCCAGGGCCGTGAGCGTTCCAATCCACTCCAGTCCTCCTCCTCCTCCTCCTCCTCCTCCTCAGTTCCTCCCCTTCCTCCCCCTCTTACTCCTCCTTTTCTTCCTCCTCCCGCGTCTTCGTCCTCCTCCTCCCCTCCTCCTCCTCCTCCTCCTCCTCCTCCTCCTCCTCCTCCTCCTGCTCCTCCTCCTCCTCCTCCTCCTCCTCGTCCCCCTCATCCTCGTCGTGTCCCGCGTCGACGCCTCCAGGAGGAGGGGCCTGTGGGCGCCGCTGCGAAGCAGGGCGTCCCGGCCCCGGCGGCGCGGCTGCCGCCCGGGCTCGCGGCGGAGCTGGCGCGCCTGGGCTCCGAGCGCGCGGTGGCGCTCGGGGCGGCGATGCAGTGGCAGCTTGAGTGCGCCAGGCACGAGCCCCTGGCGGTCCTCGCAGGAGGGACGAACTCACGACGAGAGGTGTTGGGGCTTCGAGGTTCGGGGATCGAGGACCGAGTATCCTCGGAGCAGGGCGCGAGCTAAACGGTTTTGTTTGGCGATCTCGTGGGCCGTTTTTTGTTTGGACTTCGTGCCGCAGCGCACGCAGAAGGAGCACATATTGAAAACCAGACGAAAACAGAAAACACTGCGGCACGGCGGCACGGCAGAGGCCTCCACTGTCAAGAAATACAGGAACATCTTCCGCCACGATCTCTTCACGACACGACGAACTCTGCTGGGATCGGCGCGGGTCTTGCACGGAGCGTTTCAATGGATGCCAAGGTGGATGCCAAGGTGCCCGAACTTAGCTGACCAGTGTGATACATCTGCCCCAACTAGCTTAGGAGGGATACATAACTCCGCTAAGCGGGACGAGCCCAGTGGGACGAGCCCCCTGGATCGTAGATCCCTTTAAACCACTTGGGGCATTTGAAGCCACTGATACGCTAGGTTAGACCAGGCATAACACACAATGTAATCCACTGTTAACCCCCTAGCTCCATAGCAATCCCCGCTCCGATCCCAGCGAGGCCTCGTAAGGGCCTGGAAGTTGCTCCAAAATGGAGCGAAAACCTAGGGGGCACCTTGGGCCAGGGGCACTTCTAGCAGCACCCGATGTTTCATGACGCGGGCCCCAAGACAGTGGACCCCTTCCACGGAACCGGCCTTTACTCGGGAGTATTTTCTCAACGGCCCCGACGCCTGGCAAAGGCCCCTTGAAGCCGAACACGCCCAAAAACCGCTCTGTCGTGTATTGTCACGGCCTGGCATTCCCGAGCTGGGTATGGAAAACTTGTACCATGCCCATCATCAACTTTGCCCAAATCCGACAACGACCACTGTTGAGCAGACCAGTTTTTGTCTCACATGGACACCGTCAGCGGCGACAAAAAATATCAACTGAAGCTCAAAATAAAGAGAAGCTGCTGTCGGTTATCGTCCGCGTTCTATGTGTACCTTATTCGATCGTACCGAACGCGTCGAGGGGGTCTGTTTCTTTTTTTTGCAGCCCACTTATCCGCCACTGTGCCCCATGGCACGCTGAGCCGTGCCAGAACGCCAAATGCTGTCTGGTCCGGTCTGTAATTTTCTGCACTGCCCTTCTCTAGCCGCACTTCGCTGTATGCATTAGCACCCCTCCCGCTTCCAGAATCCCTCAACAAATACGACCGGCTCGCACTCCCGGAGCCACAGCACCCTGTAAAATACAACAGATACGCGCTCCCGAAACCTAAATGCCTCCAGACGGCCCAAGACGGCCCGAAACCAACGTTACCTCAAGACGGTTCAAGATGGCCTAAAGACGGCCCATGAGGCCTTCGAGACGTCTCGAAATAGCCTCAAGAGCCTTCCCAACAGGGTTTTGAGAGGCACCAATCAATGTTCCCCCTGCGGTGTTTCAATGTTTTGGGGGGTCCCATAGATTCGAGATTCCGACGTCCGAAGACGGTCACAGGCCAAGAGGGCCTTAAGATGACTCCAATAAATGCCCAACCATGAGGGCCCGAACATGGCCAAAGAACACCCCAAGGGGTCCACAAAACAACCTCACAAAAAAAAACAAAACCAACCACAAGACGGCCCAAGCGAAGTTCATAACGGCTTCTCGACAAGTGAAGACGAAAGGGTGCCACATGCGGCGGTGTCCCTTTTCCTACTCCTCCTTCGCCTCCTCCTGCTCCTCGTCCTTCACATCATCATCAGCATCGCCGTCATACTCATCATCGCAACCATCACCATCACCATCGTCAGAATCATCCCTTTTTTTGAAAGAGCGTGATCCACCGCCGCTTTACCTCCGGAACCCGGGGGTGTTCACTACAGGTTCGACCCCCCCCCCTCGAAAACCGGGGGGGGGGTCACTACCAGTTCGAACCCCTCCCCCCCCCTCCCCACCTCCCCACGGTCACCGCCAGCAAACGACTCCCGGGTCCCTACCGCCGTCCGCACCACATCCGCCACTGCTGTCCCCATCAGCAGTGTCCTCACCACCACTGTCCCCAGTGTTCCCACCACCGTCCCCACTGTCCCCACCAGTGCCCCCAACACTGTCGCACTGTCCCCACTGTCCCCACCACTGTTTCCGCCAGTTCCACTCTCCCAACTTTCTCCACGGCCCCAACCACCGTCCCACTGTCCCCACCATCCCACTGTCCCACTGTCCCTGCCGCTGTCCCACTGAGCTGTCCCACTGTTCCCACCACTGTCCCCACTGTCCCCACCACTGTCCCCACCGTACCTCTGTCCCGTTATCCCACCGCCGTCCTCGCCACCACCGTCCCAACCACTCTGTCAAGGCAGTCCCCGCGACGGGGTCCAGACATCGGGGGGTCCAGGCTGCAGTGCGCCAGGCTCAGAAGAGGGCGAACTCGAACAGCGGCAGTTGGCCTTCGAGGGGCCCCCTCGTCGCCACGGCTGGGCGCAGGTTGGAAAAATGGTGCGTTTGGAATCCGGGAGGGCTCCGGGGACCGAATTTGAGCTGCCGTTGTCTCAACGCGCGGGGCTCCGACAGGCAGGAGCCGCTGGCAGGCCGCGAAGAAGAGAAGTCTGCACAAGCGGCGCACACTCTTTCGCTCTGGGCCTTCCGCCTCAATGGCGGCCTCCAGTCGACATCAGGCCCGGGAGCCTTCCGCAGTGGATCCAGGAGGAAAGGCTACCCTTCCAGGGAGGAGGTCGGGATCCCCCGGGCATCAGGGGCGGTCCAAGGCAGGGATATCGCCACCCTCGCCTCGTTTTCGTCCTCTTGGGGTCTCCTGGGCGGCCCTCGTGGCCGCCGCTGGCGTTGCCTCGGAAGTCTCGTCGGAAAACGCAGCCTGCAGAGGCCCGTGGAGCAGCGGCCTCGGTAGAAAGCCTGCTGCCCTCGAGGACGAGCACGGCGGCAACAGAAAAGTCCCGGAGTTCCGCGCGGATTTCCTGGACCTCGGGGGCGGCAACGAGGGGGGTGAGGACTAGGGGGGGATGGAAATCATGATGGGGGCCATGATATTTCCCCAGATTTCATGGCGCCTCTTCTCATTTCGTTGCGTCCCTGGCCGCCCCTGCTGGGCCGCGCACGTGCCGCCGGCCATGATTTGCACCCCCCCTCTTGGACACCCACCTCTTGGCCGCTCCCGAGGATCTGCGCTGGAGCTCCCCCAGCGGAGCCTCTTGCGGACCCCAACAATGTGCACCACCACCACCTCCAAATCCCCCTCCCTCGTCTACTTTCCTCTTCTCCCCTCTGCTTTCTGGGGAGAGAGGGGTGAGGGAGGTGGTGGTTGTGTATACTTTTTTGCCCCGTACCTCTGGTGCCGCCCTTAGCGCGCCTTGCGCGCCAAGGGGGCGGGGGTCCACGCAGGTCCAGGAGATCCGCGCGGAGCTCCAACAGTCTTGCGTTTGTGCAGGCTCTGGCTCCCCGAGGTCCGCCGGCGGGTGTTCCGCGAGCTGCAGCTGCAGCTGCACCCCGACAAGAACGTCGACTGCCAGGATGCCGTGCCTGGGCTTTGTCCACAATTATCCACAGGCTTGCGCATGCGTGCCCCCGGG